TCAGTGTGTGTGGGAGTGTACCCCAGTGAGAGTCAGTGTGTGTGGGACCGTACGCCAGTGAGAGTCAGTGTTTGTGGGACCGTACCCCAGTGAGAGTCAGTGAGTGTGGGACTGTACCCCAGTGAGAGTCAGTGAGTGTGGGACTATACCCCAGTTAGATTTCCATGAACAGGCATGTACCTACAACCATTATAAGTCAGTTCGATCTGCCTCCTTACCATTTGCCCAACGGCCAGGCTGTGTCCAAGTTGACACCCTCCAAATCCAGATCGAAGTTTATTTCATTCAGGGAGTATAACTTGTCCACGATGTCAGAGCGGAGCCTGTCTGACAGGAATGGGCTCCGCGCATAATACCAGTCACTGTAAGGGAGCAATCAACGCAGTGTGTGTCAAAGAAATGATGTGATGGGTCAAGACAGTTTGTGGAAGACAATGCAGCTAGCCTGTCAGAGGGCTCCTCACACATTAGAATCTCATTCATCTGAGACAGCCTGTCTGGAAATCTTCACCAGACAGTTATAATGCAAAGTACAGTGCCCAGAGCATATTGAGGCCAATCCCAGCTCCCACACCATAAACTCCTACAGTGTTGAAGGACGCCATTCAGCCCAGTGTGGCTGTGCTAACGTTTTGAAAGAACTGTCCAATTATTGAATTACTTTTCATGATGTGTAGGTGCTTCTGTCATTATTGTCCATCCTTAATTTCTCTGGAGAAAGTGGTGATGAACTGTCTTTATGCACAGTCACCAGGGTGCGGGGATTGTGACTGTCAGGGAGTTTCAGGATTTTAACCCAGAGAGTGGAGATATATTTTCAAGTCAGTAGAGTGAGTGGCTTGGAGGGGAACTTGCAGGGGGTGGTGTTCCCATGTATCTGCTGCCCTTGTCCTTCTAGCTGGAAGTGGTCCTGGGTTTGGAAGGTGCTGTCTAAGGAGCCTTGGTGAGTTACTGCAGTGCATCTTGTAAATGGTACACGCTGCTGCTACTGAGTCAGTACCTTCAGGAAGTGAGAATTGAAGCTTTCGGGTCGGGTGCCAACAAGCCAAATATTTTATCCTGGATGGTGTGAAGCTTCTTGCGCTCATCCAGGTAAGTGGAGAGAATTCCATCACACTCTCAGTCAGTTTATCGCAGATCCTGACCACTCACTGTCGTGATTGCTTCTTTTGCCAATTACCTAAAGCTGTACCCTCTGGTCATCAAACCTTTCATCCTTTATGCTGCTGATTTTTATTTTCATGCATTTATCTGTTTCCCTTTTGAAAGTTCCTGTTGAATCTGCTTCACCACCCTTTCAGGCAGTGCATTCCAGATCACAGCAACTCACTGGGGGGAGGCAATGGCCTCGTGGTTTTATCGCTGGACTGTTAATCCAGAGACCCAGATAATGTTCTGGGGACCCGGGTTTAAATCCCACCACGGCAGATGGTGGAATTTGCATTCAATAAAATATCTGGAATTGAGAATCTATTGATGACCATGAATCTATTGTCGATTGTCAAAAAACCCATCTGGGTCACAAATGTCCTTTAGGGAAGGAAACTGCCATCCTTACCTGGTCTGGTCTACATGTGACTCCAGAACCTCAGCAACATGGCTGACTCTGAACTGCCCTCTGGGTAATTAGGGATGGACAATAAATGCTGCCTAGCCAGTGATGCCCTCATCCCATTAATAACAAAAAAATGCTTCTCATCCACATCAGACTTTTCTACTGTTTCTCTTAAATTGGTTTTTCCCTCTGGTTCCTGACCATCTTGCTACAGGTTCTATTGATTTGGTCAAAGTTTGACTTTCATATTGATGAGGATCACATCGGCAACGCACAGTGATGTAACAATCAGGTCAGAGGCTCGTCATTCGGTAGAGGGACCTGGAATGGAGACCCTCCTGGGACAGACCCAGTGTGTCTATCTCTCGCTGTAACCAGAGAATGCCTTCATAAAGGACCAGGGACTCATAACAGTGAACTAACTAGTCTGAGAATGGACCCCCATCTATATGACAAAACATGGTGTCAACAGAAAAGCAATGAAGAATGACCATGGCATTGTGGTATAGGAAGCTATTCAAGTGGGAGGGGGAACAAGGGAGGTAGTAATTTTAGGTCATATTATTGTCAGGGGCCTATATCTGCAGCAAACAGCAAGGGTCCAGGCTACTGCATTGCCTGCCCAGTACCAGGGTTTGGGATGTTTGCCCTTATCAGCAGATAACCAAATCCGGGTTAGACTTGAGAGAATGGAGTACCCAAAATTCCAACGGGGTCAGGTTAGCATGAGTAAGGCAAGCAGACAAATTAAGGTAGCTGAGGTCACATCAACAGCTCTCAAAGAAGACATCAAATGCAGGTACGAGTTTCCAAGTTGGGGGAGAGTATAGGAGACAGGTGAAAGTGACTGTGGAGTGGGTAGAGGACTCTTGTCCAAAGAAGTGGGCATGGAGGTGAAAGCGACAGAAGAAGAGATCAACATCATGTTGTGCCCAAAATTCATTAAGGTGTGGATATCTGAATACAAAGATCACAGGTATCACTGAGACACACGAAGTTCCTGGGACAGTCGTTCTTGCAGTCTCCTGAGATTCACACTCAATGCCCTGTACTTCCACATGCACACCCATTGACCTCTCTGGCCATCAGCACTACCTCACATTGGCTCAAAACTGTACCGGTCTCTAGTTCCATTTCACTCTTCATCTTATTTGAAACCTTCACAAGGAACTTTTTCTCTTCCTTTCAGGTGTTAAGGAACAAATGTTCCAACAACCACCAGGTACCACTGTTCCCAGACCCCTCCTTCCAACTCCAATCCTTCTAATCTCACCACTTGTCATGGATTCACTGTGCCCTCTGACCTTCCACTATGTGATTGCTCTGTGAGACTCAAAAAACAAGAAAGCTTTGAACGTCTCAATATCATTCAGAAGCAGGAATGTCCTCTTTTACAAAAGGCATGCTGAGATTGACTTGAAATTACTGATTCATAACACATGAATGAATTTTGAATATGAGTCCTTTGTGCTGGCCTCGGGATTGGGGAAAATTAAAGAAGAAATTTCACACTGTCCCACGAGATGACACAGCAAGGGTTGTCTCCCTGGACATTGTGACAGGAAGAAGGCATACAGGTATGGTTTCAGTCCCAAGGGCTCCACAAGAATCTGTGTAGATTTAACTCCGTTAGATAAAGCAATGGAACACAAGATTCACCCAGTGGCCTGAGATTGAAAATCTAGCAGCATGGGCCAGGAACACTGCATTTACTGAACTGGGTGCTAACAATAGATTCTGGCAACAACCATGGATGAAGACTCTAGGCTTCTGATGGTATTTATAATATCTATCTGAAGCTATTCTTTAAACAGATTGCCTTTGGGAAACTCCAAATCTTTCAAAGAATGATATCCAACAGATTAGAAGACATTGACGGTGTAAATGCTACCTGGATGATGACTGACACATTGATTCAAAACGGAACATGACCAAAAGGGTCAGAGGGTTCCCAACAGTACACAGGCTTAATGCTTAATGAGAAATGAGATTTCATCAAACCAATGATTCTTGAATGTATCATTCAAGACACTGGAATCATTGCTGACCTGGAAAAGAAATGCTTTAAGAGAATTTTCCATCACCCACAAAGATCACAGAAACTCAAAGATTCCTTGGTACAGTGATCCTTCCGTGATCCTTTCTCAGAACTCAGAACTTTAACTTTGATTTCTCTCACAGATGCTGCCAGATCTGCTCTGCTTTTCCCAGCAATTTCTGTTTAAGTTCTTGAGACAGTTTTTGAGGGCAGGGTTGGCAATGTTGCTTGCCTTGCAGCAGCTGGACAATTCCTATTCTCATGATAAATTGTAACAAGGCACGATCCACCCTTATCCCAACAGCAGATGAATTGCCCACAGGAGCATGGGAGACCTAGCTCAGTGCAGAAAAACAGCAAGTGTAGACCATTCTACTGTCTATAGCACTTAACACAGACACAGCAGTGCAGCCCAGAATGGAAAATGGAGCATTGGCAGTAATTTGGGCACAGATTCATAGAATTTCACAGCACAGAAGGAGGCCATTCAACCAATTGTGACTGTACTGGGTCCCGAAAGAGCTGCCCAGTTAGTCTCACTCTCCAGCTCTACCTCCATATCCCTCTAACTTAAATCACTTTCAAATATGTACCCAGAAAACAAGGTGTAGAGCTGGACGAACACAGCAGGCCAAGCAGCATCAGAGGAGCAGGAAGGCTGACGTTTCGGGTCTGGACCCTTTCCCGAAATGTCAGTCTTCCTGCTCCTCTGATGCTGCTTGGCCTGCTGTGTTCATCCAGCTCTACACCTTGTTATCTCAGATTTTCCAGCATCGGCAGTTCCCACTATCTCCAAATATATACCCAGCTCCCTTTTGAAATCTCCTGTGGAATTTGCCTCCAACAATCTCACAGGCAGTGCGTTGCAAATCCGAACAGCTCTCCAAATAACAGAATTTCTCCTTGTCTCACTCCTAGCTCTCTTGCTGACAGTTGTGAAATTGTGACCTTAGTTACTGACATAACAACTAGTGGTAACAGAATATCCTTCTTACCCTGTCAATACTGTTCATAATTTTGACCTCAATAAGGTCACCTCTTAATCTTCTCTGCTCATAGGAGAATAAGGCCAATTTCTCTAATCTTTCGAATGTGAAAAATGCCCAGATTGTCATGGTATTATGTGTCAAAATTTAAACTGACCCTAAACCATTGGTCATTCTTCTGAACATGCACAAAATTGTCAAGATGCCGCTCAGAATCCAACTGGGATTAAATTTAAAATTAAGGCTCACGAGGAATGATTCCATGAACAAGTATATACAGGGGTGGCACCATATGACCGCAGGCACACTGTTTATGATGCCATCAAAGAGAACGAAACAGGACAACTTAGACCTCATTGAGAATGTTGAGGCACTCATATCCTTAATGTCTCATAGAGTCATAGAGATATACAGCATGGAAACAGACCCTTTGGTCCAACTCGTCCATGCTAACCAGATATCCCAGATAAATCCCATTTGCCAGCATTTGGGCAATATCCCTCTACACCCTTCTTATTCATATACCCATCCAGATGCCCTTTAAATGTTGTAATTGTACCAGCCTCTACCACTCCTTCTGGCAGCTCATTCCATTCACGCACCACCCTCTGCGTGAAAAAGTTGCCCCTTAGGTCCCTCTAGTTTTGGACTCACTGTCCTGGGGAAAAGACCTTGTCTATTTACCCTATCCATGCCCCTCATGATTTCATAAACCTCTATAACGTCACCCCTGAGCTTCTGATGCTCCAGGGAAAATAGCCCCAGCCTATTCAGCCTCTCCCTGTAACTCAAACTCTCCAACCCTGGTAACATCCTTGTAAATCTTTTCTGAACACTTTCAAGTTTCACAACATTTTTCCTGTAGGAGGGAGACCAGAATTGAATGCAGTATTCCAAAAGTGGCTGGACCAATGTCCTGTACAGGCACAACATGATGTCCCAACTCCTATACTCAATGCAGTAACCAATAAAGGCAAATATACCAAATGCCTTTTTCACTAGGTAGACAAACAGGAGGCTAGAAGAACACAGCAAGCCAGGCCTTCCTGAAGAAGGGTTATACCCTAAACAACAAGGTGCAGGGCTGGATGAATACAGCAGGCCAAGCAGCATCATAGGAGCAGAGAGGCTGACGTTTCGGGCCTAGACCCTTCTGATGAAGGGTCT